CAGATCAAACAGCGCGTGAAGGCCGACGCTGAGGTGTCTGCTTGCCCTGTGCCCTCTCCTAAAGCGAGACTCCCCGGGGCTGCAGCACCCCCTGGTTTCCTTGCGGCTCTGCCCTCACGGTGCAGCCTGGGGGGCTCAACGCGGGGACGCCAGGGCGGCTGGCTGCGGGTTTGGGCTGCGGGGCCGCAGGCGGGTGCCAGGGACAGCCCCTCTGAGCCGGCCGGTCCCAGGCCGCCCTGCACTGCCCCTCTGAGCCGGCCCCGCCTCTCTGCCTCAGTTTCTCACACCAACGAGCACCACCCAGGAGAGGAAAGCGGGCTCCCCGGCGGCGGGGGCACCCACAGCACCCTGCACTCTGACAGCCGGCACAGGTGCCAGCACTCCCGGCTCCCTTCGCACCGCTGCAGGGCGGGAGCAGAGGGCTTAAGTAGACACCGAGGTCGCTCTTCGTGCCCATGGACAGCCCGACTCGGGGGCTTGGCGTGGGCTGGTCCGTCCCGGGGAGAGGGGCCGGGGCGGGGGCGACCCCAGGGCGCCCCGCTGGGAAGGCAGGCCTTGGGCGGCAGGCAGGAGACACTGGGTCGGGGCCGGCCTCCCAGGCACAGTGGGGGCAGCCCTGGGCCTCGCTGGCCCCTCCCCGGGGCTGGTGCCGTCGGCCCTGGCTGCGGACAGCCCGACCTGCTGGGCACTGCAGCGGGGCCGGCCGTTCAAGGGCAGCTGCAGGAGCCGCTCCGGGCCCCCACCTGGGCATGGGCCTCCCTGTGCCCTGCACTCTGCGCCCTCCTCTGTGTCCACGCCCGCAGGGTACCGTAGGGACGCGGTGCCACCTCCAGCGGTCGCCTCCCCGTGGCGACCCCGATGGGGACACCCACCCTCCTACGAGGCTCCCCAGGCGCCTGCCCCCTCCACCCCCTGTCCTGCTGGCCGCCAGGCCTCGGCCCCTCTGCTGGCGGCCCTCCCTCAGGCTGTGCTGCCCACCCTCGCAGCCCCGCGGGTCCCCACGTGGCCCCTCACCCCGTCCAGCAGCCCAGGGCCGCTGCGGCCTCCACGGAGGGCCCGGTCCTGAGGACACAGGAGGCCTCGCTGCCCTTGCCCGACCTGGCGCCTCCTCCCAGTGGGGACACAGCTGGCACGCCCCGCCGGCCCGCGCCCTCTACACCCGCGCACCCCGCCGGCCCACACACCCTCGCACACCCACGCGCCCTCGCACACCCGCGCGGCTCCCGCAGCTTCTCTGGCCGCCTGGCTCAGTCCCCCCCGCTGCCACCCCCAGGCCTCAAGGGCAGCCCCTGGGACTCCTGCCAAGGCCCCAGAGGCCTGGTCACTCCCAGACACCCTCAGGCCACGTCCCATCGTCTGGCCTCACAGACTTGCCGCAAATCCATACTTACCTCTTTCTTCTGTTTCTCACGTGCTTGTTTTCTGTCTTGGCCTCAGGGTGAGGAAGCAGAAACAGCTCTCCCAGGAGCCCCCCCAAACCGGCCTGGTGGAGAGACGGACCACCGGCCAGTGGTGTCCCCAGGGGGTCTGGACCACCCTGCTCTGCCCTCGGAGCTCAGGCCCAGAGGAAACATCAGCAAAGGGGAGGGGAGCTGCAGCCTGGGGCCGGCTGCGGGTGCCGCTGGGCAGGCCCCGGGCCACAGGGGCAGAGTGCGGGCCAGGCCAGGGGGGCCAGGCCATGGGCAGCGCCAGACATCAGGGTGCCCAGGCAGGGCCCACCCCTGCAGAAGGCAGGGCGGCTGCAGCCAGCCAGAGCAGGAGGCCCGGGGCCTGCGGCCCCAGCGCGCCAGGCCCGGGAGGAGGGGCCGGCCACGGGGCCCGGGAGTCCCTGGCCACCGAGCACTGGAGGGGGCTTAAGGAGTGGACTCAGGAGCAGCAGGGCATGTTCTCCGTAAAGGGACGGAGAGGAGGCTGGGCGCAGAGGACAGGGGACCGAGGGGAACAAGGCGGTTTCTTGCCCGGGGGGGCCAGGGGCTCGGTGGGGGAGAGCAGGGGCCACGCGTGGGTCCGTGCTGGGCCCCATGGGCAGAACGTGGGGACCCGAGCCCAGCCCAGTGGGGAGCTCTCCACAGGCCTCTCAGCGCCCATGGGGTGTGGGGTGATCTGAGGACAGGTCAGGAGTCGCAGTGGACAGGAGGGGAGGGGAGAGTGGCCAGAGCCTCAGCCCGAGGCTGGGGTCCTCCACCTGCCAGGAAGCCAGTGGGCATCACACCCCCACGTGGCCCCAGAACACCTGCTGGCCATCCCGTCCCCACGGCTGTGTGGACAAGCGCCACGCCCACGAGCTGGGTCCAGGAGTGAGGCCGGCTCCCCACATCACGCCGGGGGGGGGGGTCACGAAAGCAGCCTCGGCCCCAGCAGCCCTCGCGTGGCGCGGGGCCTGGTGTCCAGGGTCCAAAGGTCCTTGCCGGCCCGCAGCAGCACCCAGCGGCGGCCTCTCACGCACGGGGCGGTCCATCGGGGTGGACGGAGGTCCAGAGGCTGAGAGGAAGGGCTGCCGGGCCCTGGCCTGCTGGCGGGGTGTCCAGGAGCGCAACGCCACCCGCCTGGGGAACGGGCAGTGGGCAGCTCACGTGGGCTCGGGCCCTGTTTGCTGGGAAATTTGCAGAGAAGGGAGTTAGTGCCGTTGCCTTGGCAACCACTGTCCCTCTATAACGAGGCCGGCAGAGGAGGCGGTCTTAAAGCAGCACGGGCATGTCGGTTTTGTGGGCGTCCCGAGAGCCTCCCCGGCACCTGGGCGCTGGCCGGGGCCATCGGGAGGATGGGGGGCCGGGGGGGAGGTGCCGGTGAGATACCCAAGCCGCGGCAGCCCCTCCCCCTGGCCACGTGCCAGGGCTCAGGGCTGGGGTCAGGTCTGGCCCAAGCCAGGGGGTACCTGAGCTGGGCGCTGAGACTGCTCAGGACTTCCCCAGTGGACAGCACAGCGGGGGACTGGGGGGCCCCAGGCAAGGCCACTTGTACCTGGACTTCACCAACCTCCAAAGGAGAGAAGGGTGAGGCCTTCAGTGGCACGGAGTAGGCTCAGGGCCAGGACGCCGCACCCGAGACCTGCTGAGGGGAGCGTGGCCCGGGGTGGACAAGCCACAGGAGCACTGGGGAGGGGCAGCGAGGCCAGCTGCCGGGGCCAGAGCAGGGCGAGCAGACCCGGCCCTGACGGGAGCAGGACAAAGCCCCTCGAGCCCAGCGCCGCGCCCTGGGGCCCTGCAGGCCAGCGGGCCGGAGCGCAGTCTCCAGGCCCGTGGAGCCAGAGCCAGCGCTGCTTCTGGGAGGGACCCACCGTGCGGAGACCCCAGGCCAGCCCGAGCGTCCAGGCGGGGGCTGCAGCGGGGAGCGCCTGGAGGGGACTGGCCAGTCTCGGGGTCTCCCCCTCAGCGCCCCGGGCCCACGCAGGGATGGGGCCCGGCCGGCTCGGCTGTGCTTGCTCCGCTCGGTGTTTTATGCTGTGGAGCAATGTGGCCGCGAGGCCAGTCACTGACCGGCGCTGCGGCGGCTCTCGGCTATGGCCACTCGAGTCCACGACCACGCCGTGGCGCGTTATTGGCTGCAGTGGAGTGAGGCCCACGCGCCGTCCCGGGCACCCCACGCCCAGCAGGGCCTCCGGTGGTGGCATCCTCCCAGCGCGGCGCCAGGATGCGCCCGTGAGCGGCCTGTCCACGCGGC